ACCAAGTAGTGTTTTTGGTTCAGTTTTCTGAAAACTCAGTCATAAAATTATTTGTAATAATTCTCTGAAGATAATTTTTTATTTTATGAGTCCTTCATAACTGTTTTTAGAGTCGGTTTGGTTTGTAACTTTAAAAACAATTATTAAAAATTTAAAAAACAAAAAACTGTTTTGAGATGATTATAAAAAGATATCGGTTCCAAAATAAGCGTGTAACTTTTCATTTTTATCCATTCCAAAATAAGTATCCCATTTAAAAAATCAATGTACTAAATATATATATATATATATATATATATATATATATATATATATATTGTGATAACATTACCAATTTAATCTTATAAAAAGCAAATCATTATGTCATTGTGGATCCACAAAAAGTAAATTTGGTAATTCATTCACTATTAATACAATAAAAATAATACGTAGTTAGGGCCCGTAGTTAGGGCCGCTTGGCATACGATGTGTTTTAGGCATTATGTTTTTAATTAATACTCAAACAACTGTTTTGTTGTAAGAGTGTTTTAAATAAAACTTAGAATCATGTCTAATAACGAAAAATTTGTTTTGAGAAATTCGAAAATTTGTTTTAGTCCTTTCACTATAATATTAAAACACACAATGTCACCAATTTAGTGATATAAGTTTGGACCAAAAACTCTAATATATTATAAATTATTCTAAACCAATAACAATCGTATCAAACATAATATAAGTTCAAATTTAAATATCAATATCAATATTAAAAAATATATATCATAACGTGTATCAAACTACCGAGACACTTTTGTTTGTAAGGGAGAAGTACTGACCCTAAACTCTTTGTATTTCTCCAAGAGTCATACACAAGCATTGATCAAGTCTAAGGAGGAGGCTTGATGCCTTCCAGAGGGTGTCCAAGGGTTTATGTCGCATTCAACAACTGTCTCATGCAGGTTGTCTGACTTATCTTACGTAAACTAATATGTGGTTGCGTCTATATCGTTCTCATAGCAACTGTTTTACAAAAGTTATCTTACCTAAATTAATTTATTATTATTTTTTATTAAAATAAATTATGACTAAAAATTTATACTAATTTAATGACATATTCTTCACTAAACATACATAAATTTATCTTTGATTTTTTAAATTAATTATTTAAATATAAATTTTAAGTAGAAAATTTTAAAACCATGTAATTCATTAACATTTCACCTTTAACTAATTTAATGACATATTATTCATTAAACTTGCATAAATTTATCTTTTGATTTTTTAAATTAATTATTAAATATAAATCTTAAGTAGAAAATTTTAAAGCCATTTAATTTATTTATTGATTTTTCATTAAATTTTTTTTCCTAATTGGTACTCACACACACTTGTCCCTTCTGAGACTTGAATTCCTGACCTCTCTTTGGGAGGTAAGATGTTGATACTGCTAGACCACTGCCATTAAAAAGAAGATATTTTTTTATTTAAGTAATCTATTAATATATTGTATGAAAAAATAAAAAAAAAGATATTTTTTGACACTAATTTTTTTAAAACTAAGTATAGCTAGTTTTATTACTAATAATAAAGTTTTAATAATAAATTAATCATTTTATAAAATGGTAGTTACAAATTTTTTTTTTTCTTCTTATAATAAATTTATACTAATAATAAATTAAGGTAAATAGTATAATTAATATTTAGATTAGAGAAAAGATAACAAAAATAATTTAATAACAAATGACAAATTTAATGAAAATGGGTAAAATAGTATTTTGTGATGAATTTGTTTTTAATTATAATAAATTAATAGTGTAGGGAGACAATTTATAGTTCAGGAAGTTATTTGCAAAAGAATAATAGTTGAAGGGAGTTTTTTTACACTTTATTCTAAAATTATCCTATAAAACTATACCCTCGAATTATGGATAAATAATTTCAAAAATTGCATTATTGACCAAAATAAAATACTTTAATAAACTCATTTTCAAACAAACAATAAACTTTACCCGACTTAATCTTAGATTTGATTATAATATATATTTATATATTTATTAGTAGTAATAATAATCATCATCTTAGAGTTGCTTGTTTGATCTAGGTCTATGTTATGTCAACTGCAGAGTGTGACAAAAACTACAAACAGATGTGTAATTTAGCAAAATTGTCAAAATTTGGTTTTTGATTAGTATCATCATCTTTGATTATATTTTCAAAATTGATCTATAAACTCATATCAGTAGTGTAGGGTCCACTGGTGGGATAATTCCGAAATATGTTATCTTAAAGAAAATAAGTCTGACGTTGATTAGTCTAAGATAAGAAGAGAAAAGATATTGTTTAAATGGTAGTTTCTTAATTTTGAAATTATTTTTAATAATAAAAAAAGAAATTATTATTTCGATTCTGTCTCATCTATTTAAAAAGGCATAATAGTATTTTTATTATTATTATTTCTTTTATTTTATTTTCTTTTATCCCGTCTATCATATTCAAACAAAAGTATTATCATTTCTTTTATTTTCTCTTATATATATCTAAACAAAAATATAAATTACTGCTATTATTTTCTTTTCTTTTTTTCATAACTAATATTTTCTTCTTCTTTTATTTTTTCTTTTTTTTTTTTTTTTTTTTTTTTTTTTCTAAGTATCCAAACGGAGCCTCCAAATATTTTTATAAAGTTAATAAAAAAAAAAAAAAAGTAAAAAAAGGGGGAAATTTCCTTTGCTCACGACTCTTCAACATATTGTGGAAACTTTTAAATGATTAATTAGAATAGACATAAGGTAACTGTGACTTATATTTAAAGGAAATTTCCTTTGCTCGCGACTCTTCAACATATGGTAGAAACTTTTAAACCATTAATTAGAATAGACATAAACTAACTGTGACTTATATTTAAAATGACAATCTCTGTTAACATGTAAATAGAAGTATTTGCTCTAGACTATAAGCAATTTCATATACTGTTTACAAAATTATTTAGTATTGCTAACTGCAAGAAAATTAAGTGATTTTGTTATATTTTGGAAGTGTTTTTGTCAAAAACTTGATAAAATAAATAAATAAAAAACCTTGAACGGGCTAATCAAACCTTAGGAATAGTCAATATATGCGTCTTTAATTTACACAAATTTGCATTAGTTCTGACTTGCCTTCAAGTTTCTACATCAACCTTAATAGGGGTAAAATGGAGAAGATTCAAGTGAATCTAAGCCAAATCTATGTTCTAACATTAGGATCCATATATGGATACGAATTCCAATCAAATCCAATCCACATCATCTATATTCCACTCATATAACACTAACAAGATTATAATTGAGTAAATATATTTGATTTGGATTGATTATAGATTAAAATTCAATTAAAATTTAGATTATCTTTATCGAAACTTGACTAAGATTAATAATGATTTTTTTTAAGGATAAATTACAATGACATTTTCTAAGATTTGAGCAAACTATTCATCACTTATTACTTTGATCTTTCATAAACCCGTTCGTCACCTCCGAAAACTCAAAAAGTGATTTTGAGTGGGAAAAACCAGTAATGCTTTCATTTATAATAATATCTTATTTGCATTTTATACTATGAAAGGGTAAAATTGTCATTTTATAAAATTTGTTTAACAGGTACGCGGAAAAGAAAATATTAGAAGTGTTATTGAGAACACACACCAAATCTTAGAAAAGGTCAAAGTGATAAACGTTGAACGATCTACTTGTGTATAGTTTGTCTATATGTACTAATTTGAGTGTGGCGTGATAGGTTTAAGAGGGGACCAAGGAGGTTTGATTTGAGTTAGAGGCACGACGGGGTTTTACAGAGGAAGAGAGCAGGGGTTTCTTTGTAAAATTTGTAGTAAGAGAGATGTTAGGTTTTTACAATTAGGGTTTTAGTTGTTAGGTTTTTACAGTTAGGGTTTCTTTGTTAAAAAAAAAATTGTAATTCCGGAGGATTTCTTGCTCAAGGTTTATTGCATTTTACCTTATATATTTTAAGGAAGATAGGGATGCAACCCCCATTGAAATATGGATTCGAAATTAAAATTAAACTTCTCTGTGGACTTTAATTATGAAAAAAAAAAAGAAAAAAAAAAAGAAGACTTTAATTAGTTCAAATAAAATGAGATAAATATTAGATAAATAAAATGAGAGAGGTGATATTTGTGGAAAATGAGATAAATATTTGATTGAGAGTTGGGGACATGGCTGGCAATTATTAGGACATGGTCCTCACATTAGTTTTGGATGCATTTAAACGTGGAGATTCCCAATCGTTGGAAAACTCGACTTTTTCATTTTATACGTGCTACTTTTACGTGTATTACTTCAAGTCTTCAACCTCAAAATGTATTAATTCCTTTTTCTTTTTCTTTTTCTTTTTCTTTTTTTTTTTTTTTTTTTTTTGAGGAGAATTCCACTCAAAAAATAAATAAATAAAATTAATCAATTAAATTATATAAACAATGATTTTTAAAAAAAACACAATTCTAAAAAAGATAATTTAATGATATAGGTTAAGAATGCGAATCCCTTTAAGATTACCTTCATAATTTTTTCAATAATTGTGAAAATGTCTTAAGATATATGATACCACCATTATTTGAATTTTTTTTTTTTTTAATATTCCCTCTATCTCATAATCAATTTTCACAAAAAATAAACATTCATAGTATCATTTAAATACATTATAAATAGATTTGATTACTTATTTAGTATCATATAATAAAAAATTATTTTTATAACAATTTAAAAAAATACAGAGGACCAAATTTGGACGACTTTCAATTAAATCGTACAACACAGGCATTCAATCGTTCATTCACGAACATATGCATGTATTAACACTTTGGTGAAGGTCACCAAACTTTTTACAAGAACTGAATCAGTGATTTGACATGACGGAGGAGACACATTGAAGTCAATGGAGGACAATTTTAGAATATTTAAAAAGAGCGGTGATACACGACCCGACTACTGTTCACCCGACTTTAACCGACATCCTACGTGGCTGTCCAAATAAGCAGTCCTTCCATCTTCCCTTTTTGTTGTTCCTTTTTTCTTTTTCCAAGCCCTAGCAAGATTCTCACAGTGCATTGAAGCGGCGATGAATGACCAGATCTGTAACTGAAGCGGCGAGGAGCGGCACAGATTGTACCGGCGAGGAGCGGCACAGATTGTACTGGCAAGGAGTTGGCTTACCGGTGAGAAGTGTGTTCAATTTGCTTTACCTCTTCAAGCAAACCACGTTTTTGAAGAAACTTAATCTCAATCAAATCTCAAAAACACCTATATCAGGTATGGATTTAATATTATTCAATATATTTTCAGTTTTTGTATGGAATTTGTCTTTTTATTTTTTCTAAAATAAACTGTGAAAAAAAAGAAAGAAGAAATAAACTGGGTTTGCTGTGGGTATATTAAAATGGTCTAACTAGGATTGCTTGCATAACTCAATAAATACTTCATCAGATCAACCATGTGTATTTCTTCAAATTCCAACACCTAAAATTCAAGAAAGAATTACTCGTCTGGGAGGGGGGAAATAGATGAGTACGTGTTACTTCAACAATGTCCTGTGTCCATAGCTGTTTCAATGGAAAATGGGAGGTGTGGCTTATATTTTTTTCCTTCAAATTCTTTAACATGTTAAGTAAGGCAGCTTGTTCTTCAAGGTTTTATTGTACCTCCAATTTCTAAGCTCCCAAACACAATGCCTCAAATATCAAAAACCCCCTGAGAAAATGAAGAGAAAAAGTGGAAGAAATAAGTTCATGAGAACAAACCAATTTTTTAAGGATCAAAAGACAATTACTCAAAAAACAAAACAAAAAAACAAAAAATTAAAGTTATTGAAAACGCAATTCTTTTTTTTTTTTTTTTTCTCAAAACAGAGCTTTGCATTATGGAGGTATTGAAAACGCAGTTCTCTCTAGGGCTTGGTTATCCAACCACTTTCCTTAATCAAAAACACATAAGCCTATAACAATCATGATTAACAGCAGAATTAACCCAACTTTTAGATCTAATTGAACAAAACCCAGTACTTTGATTTGCAAATCACACCTATTAAACCAACTAGAAATAAAAAGCTGCAAGATGATGCACCAAAATCAGCCACAAGACGATGAACGCCACCACGCCCCACAGCGCGCTTCCCTAGGACGGCCGTTTGTAAGTCCGGCGCTGCTGATCGTACGGAGACGAGATGAAGAATCTCTTAAGATTCTCTATAATTGACAACCAACGGGCATCAATCAGTATGAACACTGGTATGACAAAGAGTACCCAACCCAAAGAGTTCTTCCTGAGTGCAGCGTAAGAATCTTGGAAAAAGAAACAGGGAACATGAAAAAGAGAACATGGAAGCGCCACAGGAGAGAGAAAGGAGAAAGATAAAGAGATGAGAGAGAGTAAAGTTGTGCCAAGAAGGGTGAAAACGTCTGCCTAGTTGTACCAATCTGAATTTGACAACTGTCTGTCGGTTAAAGTCGGGTGAACAGTAGTCGGGTCTTTTAGCATTTCTTATTTCAAATAATTGATGAATTGTCGCTGCTCAAAATAAGTGTACGACACTTACACATCCCGGTACCCCACCACGAAATATCATGCGGAGTACTACCTCTACGTCGGCCGTTGACTATATTCCTTTCACGGCGAGTTTAACAAAAAAAAAAAAAAAAAAACCCATCTTACAAAGTTAGATTTCCAAATATATATATATTGATTTGAGAAGACATGATAACAAACTATAAATTCAAAAAATATAGCCCACATGTTTGTAACGATCCAAATTTTCATAACTCACTACGTTAACAAATAACCTAAAGACTGACTTGATATCGAATTCAAAACGCAAAAGTAAAAAAAAAAAAAAAGTCTCTAAAAATATACATTACCTCTGACTAAGATAACAAAGTGACCTTTAAGAAATCACGAGACTTAAATAGAAAATGGATGCAGAAGTTAAGACAAAATTGACAAAAAAAATAAATAATAAAATAAAAATAAATAATAATAATAATAATCATATAATTAATTAATAATAATGATAATAATAATAATAAAATGATAATAATTTTTTTTTTTCTTAGTTGATGGGTACTCATACATATGTACTTCTACTGAGATTCGAATTCCTGAACCTTTTTGAAAAGTATGAGTATGATGTTACTAAGTCATTGGCCTGTTGGTAATAATAATAATTAAATATTTAAAATAATTATAATAAACAATAATAATAATAAATAAATAATAATAATTTTTGAAAAAAAAAGATGACATGGTCATCATATCCCCATCTAAAAAAGGATTTTCTCAAAATTCGAAATCTACAAAATAGAAGACCAACCCATGATAAATACTGTCAGCAATCCCAAAACTGAAAATATATATATATATACAATTCAATGCCATACACTCATGACATGACACATCTTTAAAAAAAAAAAAAAAAAAAAAAAATGGTTGCAGATGATTTATATTTATTCCGTTATGATATAAGTGAGCCACGTCAACCAGGAGGAATACATGACGTGCATCTATTGGTCGTAAGTAAAATCGTGTGCAGTAGCATCACGTTTGCAAACCAATGACAGAGCAAACACTTGTTCTCATCAATAAATATCAAGAGGACTAGGATATGCATCTGTCACATAATTAAGGTACGCAAACATCTCTCTAAATCTCTCTCTGTGTACAGACTGACTTGATATATATATATATATATTCATATGTACACAGACAATTACTTGTTCTTGTCTATAAGTAGAGGGAAGATCATGGTATTAATTTATTTTATGCATATCACACATGGTTAAAGTACGACATCTCTCACTCTAAATCTCTCTCACTTTGGCCTGTAAAAGTGGTGGATTCTGGCGGAACCCTATGAGTGTGCCAAGAATTGCAATAGTTTTAAAAAGAGATCCAAATAATATTTTAGAAGGAAAATTACGAGACCAGACGACTGTGATGAGGTCTGAAATGAACACCTCAAGGGTTTTGCCTTTGATAAAGGATTAATTTCAAGATGGTTAACTGGTTAAGAAGAAACGAACTACTTAAGAAAGTAATTGACTGAAAAGTAAGATAATCTAATGAAAAATAAAGTGCATGACTAAGACTAATCATATTGAAAGTGCATTATAATGAAAATGAAAATTGTATTAAAATGCGTGTTTGATTCGGCGTTGAGCAGACCTATTATGTTATAACATAATGACCTATTTATAGAATAAAAATATAATCACTTACAATAACAGTCCCTTGATGCCTCCAAATGCAATCGTGTCTTTAATTCTTCTCAGAACTTCCACGTTCCAAACATATAATCATGCTTCTGATTCTTCTAGAACCTCACGTTCCAATCATGCAATCGTGCTGATGCCATTATTTCCCAAACAGATTGCACAATATCTTTTTGTCTGAGCAAATGGCTATTACTCTTTTTCTCAGGATGGTGGTAGTAGTGGCCCATGTTAAAACGGCGTTTTGTTGTATCGTGACTTTTGAAGAAAACCAACCTCCATCACGGGAACTCTAATCTCCACGACTAAAACTCCAATAATTGACACGTTCCTTTGACCAGTACCTATCTTCAACCGGATTTGGGGGCAGATCATAATGGTTCTACCATCTATTTTGAATTGTGTTTGTGTTTACTTTGGGCTGTTGAATTGTGTTTGTGTTTACTTTGGGCCTGCTTTGGGCTGTTGTTTGGGCTACCCATGCTCAATTGTAGACTGCATGTATTGGTTAGCTATTGCTAACCTCCTCTTTTATACTCATGCCCCACGTGTCTTCTAATTGAAATACTCTGAATTTGGCCTGATGCAAACTTCTTCCACGTGTCTGAACTTCAAAGTCCCTTTCATTTTGGACTCCTTTTAAAATTTGATTTTTCATGTGTAACAAACCCTTTGGAATAACATGCTCTTCCTGAAATTTCTTGAGTTTAGTCTTGACCCAAACTCCTTCCATTGATTCCAAACTGGCTTGATCCAAAATTCCTTCCACGTGCCCTTTTTTTCCATTGAACGAAAATAAGGGTGTAAACACTCTCTAGAGTCTAGATAGACTGACTTGATGTATATATATATATATATATATATATAGGGTGTGTTGAAGATAGTAATAGAGGAAATATAGACTGACTTGATAAATACACACACACACACACAGACATACAGGGTGTGTTGAAGATAGTAATAGAGGAAATATGGCGCTAAGCTTAGCACCCCAGATGGCAGATGAAAAGGTGTTCGAGGGAGAAGGTGGATCATACCATAGTTGGTCACCTTCCAACTTTCCATTGCTTGGTGAGGCTAAGGTTGGTGCAGGTGTTCTCATGTTGCATCCTCGTGGTTTTGCTCTACCTCACTATGCAGATTCCTCCAAGATTGCCTTTGTTCTTCAAGGTAATTATTTTCCTACTTAATTTTCAACAAATTAAATTAATTATATATATACGTATATATTTTTGGGTTAATTTCTAGATATTGTTATTATTATTTTATAAATGTTGAAAAGTAGATAGAACTCAAGATCTAGATGCTTTTTCAAGTGTTTTCTTGTGTTTCACCTAACATGTGAGATTTTTTTTTATAGTATATGTATCATCACAAGTGTGAGTCTCTTAGTCATCATTAGATCCAAGAAATAATATTGATTAATTTAATTTATTTTCTTGGTTTTCTCATATGTGTTGCTAGTCTATATATAATTACATACATACACAAATCTTTTTGGATAAATGTTTAGGACATTTCATTTTGTCGATCTGATGGAACTACACGGAGTCCACCTAATCTATTTAAATTTTAAAGTAAGTTACATTTCATTTCGTTGGGCAGTGGATCAGTTTGAGATGGGTAACCTATTGGTGGTGGTAGGAGGTTGAGTGGTGGCGGTATGCAGTGGCAGTTGTTGGGGGTGGTTTGGTGGAATTAGTGGCGGCTGTGGTTGGGGGCGGTAAGAGGAGGAAGAGAGAGAGGAGAGATAAACCATGTTTGGGTCCCACTCGGCTGGAGAAGAATTGGTCTTTATTTATTTATTAAATTCTACTGTAGATTGGAAAGAATATAATATTTATATATTTTGTGATGATTAAGTCTTCATAGTTTGAGCTCAACCCCTCAACTACTGATATAACAGTATTCTTTGTTTGGGTAGTAGGGTTTTATGTGGGTAAGTTATTCTGAGGCTATTATTTAGTCAAGTATAATTTATTCCATATTAGATACCTCAGAATATCAACCATGTAGTACTATGAGTCTATGACATATTTACTTTTATTTATTTAATGAAGAAAATTATGAATATTTATCGAAAAAAAGTACAACATTATCGGTATCACAATGTATCTTATATATGTTATTTATTTTATTACGATATCAAGGAGAGAAATAATAATTTCTCACCATATATGCTGCCGTTGTATAGTTTTTTTCTATTTAATTCATTTTTATTTATCTATGAAAGACTATTTATATATAAGTAGTTGAATAAGTGTTAATTTACGCACATAAATCTACAATAAAATATTTAAATTAAGGGTTAGAGTCAGATGGGACAAAGAAAATCACATTTACTTATCCATGAAAGACTATTTAAATTAAGGGTTGGACTCTGAGATGGGACAAAGAAAAATTGGCTAAATCTTACTCCACCCCGTTATAAAATATATCATACTAATTTTGCACTTATTTCGGAACTGGCATGGTTGTTGATTATGATATCATTTTCGTTGTTATTTTGATAGACAAAATATCGACTCCGCGTTGTGTACTCCATTTAAATGCAGGACGTAATGGGAGTAGGCTGGGTTATGGCACTTTTATTATTATGTAAAAAAAAAAAAAAAATAGCCCAATGTGTTTAAATTGGGCTAATAAATAAGTTGACTCAACTTTTAAATTTCTAAGTAGTAAATATTACTATATTAACGAACACTTTCAGCAAAATAACTTGGGTCTTAAACATATTAAATATATATATATATATATATATATATATATACATAAAAAAATAAAATGCACATATATAATCAGGGTGGTGTCGGGGCAGGTTATATATATATATATATACATAAAAAAATAAAATGCTCATATATAATCAGGGTGGTGTCGGGGCAGGTTAATTCATCACTAAATTTGACCCCGCTCCAAACTCGCTTCAAGTTTTCAATTATTTTTATTATACCCGTCTCAAATTCATTTAAGGCCCACTAAATTCACCCCATTAGGAATGAGGACGGTGCGAAACCTGCCAGATGCAAAAAATTGCCATCCGGAGACTTGCCTCCCAACACTTGCATAAAATAAATATATAAAAAAAAATATTACTAATTGGTACTATATTTTAACTTTAAAGACTAAGAATTTTATACGGACCATAAAGTTGTTCATTTAATAAGTATTTCCTACAAAGTTTACAATTTCATTGACAATTTTTTTCTTCTTCAATATTATTGCCCTTTCTTATTGAAATCCCTTTAATATTATTTTCTTAGTGAATCATAACTATACCCATTGCCTCTAATTTTTAATTAGTACCAATTTACTAAACCAAAATTAGCAATTTCAAACATATACCTATGAACAACTTTTTGGTCCCTACCAAAATTAGATTTACCAATTATAATAAAAATAAATTAAAAAAAAAACAGTGTCTAATTAGTACCAATTTACTAAACCAAAATTAGCAATTTCAAACATATACCTATGAACAACTTTTTGGTCCCTACCAAAATTAGATTTTACCAATTATAATAAAAATAAATTAAAAAAAAAACAGTGTCATATAAAAAATTTATCATTTAGGGGAAAAAAAAAGAAGCGTATCAAGATGTTATAAATTTTTCTTTCAAATTACAAGAAAATGACAATAACAATATTTCTATATGTATATAAAAAAAATGTAATATGGGACTTATTTGTAAAATTATTTACTAAAAATAGGACTTAATTGTCTTAACAAAATTTTAGAAGACTTATTGCTCCTTACACTTAAAATGTAAAACTAATACGTATTTTTTTTTCCTTTTAACATATTGAACACACAGTCACACAGTTACATGACTTTGTCTCCACAGGTACCTGCACTGTTGGAATGGCGTCTCCCAACACATCAGAAGAAACTGTCGTGATGGTTAAAAATGGAGATGCATTCCCAGTGGAAATTGGAGTAGTCTCATGGTGGTTCAACGGCGGAGACACCGACATGGTTATCGTGTTCCTGGGAGAAACTTCCAAGGCTCACACTCCGGGGTCATTCACCTATTTCTTTCTCACCGGCACTCTAGGCATTCTGGGAGGTTTCTCACCCGAATTCGTTAGCAAGGCTTATGATTTGAATGAAGAAGAAACGAAAAAGCTGGTGAAAACCCAAGCAGGTTCTTTGATAGTCAGGCTTAAAGAAGGAATAGCCATGCCTAAACCATGCAAGAACGCTAGTGATGGAAAGCTCGTGTTCGGCTTTGAGAATGCATCGCCTGGTGTTAAGGTCAAGAATGGCGGATTGGTGACAACTATGACCGCGGCAAGACTTCCTTTGCTCGGAAAAGTTGGACTTAGTGCCAATGTGGTGAAGTTGGATGCCAATGCCATGTCCTCGCCAATGTACACCACGGATTCATCTGTACAATTAACTTATATTGTGAAGGGAAGTGGTAGAGTTCAAATTGTGGGTATTAACGGACAAGGCGCATTGGATGCAAAAGTAGAGGCTGGTCACTTGTTCGTCGTGCCCAGATTTTTTCCGGTCACTCATGTTGCAGATGGAGAGGGAATGGAGTTTTTCACCGTTATAACATCTCCAGAGTAAGCACCTTTTTCATTGCCATACACACTTGAGCTCTCATACGTATTTACATTTGAATTGCAAGTAAATTAAGCCTAGCTGACAATTAGCTCACACATACTATTTGCTTTGTTATATATATATCTTTGCAGGCCTGTATTTGAGAAGTTATCTGGGAACACATCAGTTTGGAAAGCCATGGCTCCAATAGTTCTTGAAGCTGCTCTTAATGAGACTCCAGAATTTGTGAAACTCTTCAATTCCAAGATTAAAACGAGCACAGTTCTTATCCCTCCAGGGAATTAATATTTGACAAGTTAATTACATTATTACCACTTCAGTCATTGTTGTTGAAGTTTTCAATGTTGTGGCAGTTTTTAAATATTATTTGAAAAAACAATGAAATAACGTAATTGCTCAGCATATATCCTGTTGTTTTTGTTGTTTCTACTGTGTGCGTGTGTGAAAGTTTTGGTTGGGCAAGCCTATTTGACCGTTTATTATTACTTGTGTGTGTATTACATGGATGGTCTTGATGCGCCCATGATTATCGCTATTGTAATATGCGTGCGTACTCGTGCGTGTATTACACAAACGGTCTCATTTTTCTTAGTTTGAATTGTAGCGCTTGTACATGTTTATATGTTCTAATTTTATTGGTATATCAAAATTTAAAGCTTATGAATAATAGGCGAGAAAGGGGAGAGAAGTACTTCCGTATACTAGCTATACTACATTATCCGTGCCTTTAATCAATTATATTTAAAGTGCTTTACATTAATGAGTCCAATTATGTATTTAATTAGTCTATTATTTCTCACATTAGACAACGATGGACCTATAAAGTCCTCAGTGGGGGGTTGCTCCACCCACTGATAATTATTATTATTATTTTTTTATAAACAAAATTACTTATAATTTTTGTTAAAATCTTAAATATGCCTCAATCTATTTTTTTTTATTTTATATTATTCCACCATATATTATTATTGTTCAAATTTGCCCCCTCATACAATTGTTTAACTCTATCACTGGTATTAGGTCGTTGTCCCTTGAGTTGGGTTATGTATCTCCTCTAGCTACCTCCGACGGAGATTTGGGTGGATATTGTGTATTTGCTTATTAATGCATCCTCTATATTATCGGGAGAATAAAATTCCCTCTGTCCCAAATTAAATGTTCACCTTTCTATTTTTAGTTGTCCAAAAATTAATATTTCAATTAAATAGTCAAAGTACTATTTTTTATTTTTTTTTTGTAATATTACCAATTTAACCTTATTACATTAAACTCATAAAAAGTAAATCATCACATCCTGTGGACCTATTATGGACGTATTTGGTAATTCATTCACTACTAATGCTATACAAAAATATTAAAATACATCCTCTTAAAAAATTAGATTCCAGAAAATGGACGTTTTATTTGGGATAGAAGGAGTACTTTTTTAGCCATCAAGAAAAAAGAGTTTTGGTTAAATTAAGATACTTTTCTTCTGATTTTTAAAGGGGTTTGTGTTCTCTCACTTTATGTTATTTATTACTCCCTTTGTCCCATAATAGTTGGAACTCAATTCCCAAAGCACCAAACTATTATGGGACAGCTATTAGTTTTTGAAAGTATACATACATATATATAGATAGATAGATATAAGAAAATGTACAAGATGGGTTGGGCTGCAACACAGGCGGCCCAAAACAAGCAAGAACTGGGTTAATTACAAGCTAGTACAGATTATACTCATTTGACCAACAAGATTCAAAGACTGAACCAATTATAAAATAGGCCCAAACATAATAAAAAGTAGTGATTGTTGGGGTTTCCAAGCTCATCATTTTAAGTAGTCCCAACTATGGGATCGTTGATAGAGGATTTATTCTGGTAAGAATATCAACCATTTGGATTTAATATTTGTTATTCATTTTGTGATGTATTAATTAAGGATTTCTATGTCTATATGAACAAAAGTTGATACGGGTATTCTTTATGGATTAAGAACCTCTGCTGTAAAGGGGTCATATTGTACCCATACTATAGTGTAAAAAGAAATATTTTTAAAATGGGTAATTTTAGAGTCAGACGAAAAAAAGGAATGACGTTACGGTAAAACTATTACCAAAAAAAAAAAAAAAGAGAGAGAGAGAGAGAGAAAACTATCAAATAGAACAAAAAATAGAAAAGGAAAACAAAATATCCTCTTTTGCTTCAGCGCCTCCCTTGTCACCATCCTGTCCGCCATCTCCCTCTCTCGTCACGGTTTACCTCAAACTAGTATACTTCTACTGGGTTATTCTAGCATCACCTCATCGCTGTCTCACGATTGTATTTTCAAGTACTCATTCTTTCTCTCTCTCTTTTTCCCTTTATTTTCATTGTTATAGGATAACCCTAGAATTATTCATGACAACATGATCAATTAGAATGACTAATGATTTTATAGTAAAATTGGTTTTAAAAGATTGATATGGAACATATTTTTAGTTTTACTTTTCATATTTAACCAAACAAATAGCACCTTTGCTCCATTGACACTTCGATAGATTAAATACCCCCAAGCCCAGTTCAGATAAATATATATGTTTACACCCTTATTTTTCACTTTCCTGTAGAAGATTACCCTAGTCGATTTCAATGGAAAGGTACTACGACATTCCAGTGGAAAGTCTTGGGACACATGGCAGCCAAGGAAGCAAGCGGTTACAAGTGGTTACATGCAAAGTCATTGGACACATGGCAGCCTAGGAAGTGAGTGGTTACAAGTGGTTATATATAAAGTTATGGGACATATGGCAGCCTAGGAAGTGAGCGGTTACATGCAATGTCATGAGACACATGGCAGCCTAGGAAGTTGGTCGATTCCAATGGAAAGGTACTACGGCATTCCAGTGGAAAGTTTTGGGACACATGGCAGCCAAGGAAGTAAGCAGTTACATGCAAAGTCATGGGATATATGGCAGCTTAGGAAGCAAGCGGTTATATACAAGCTAACATTACTAAATTCTATAAATAGAACATGATATTGTAACTTAGAAGGCCTGCTCAACACCAAACACAACAACGTATTTCAATACAAATTCTTATTTTCATTATAATGCAATTTCATTATGATTAGTCTTAGTCCTGCACTTTACTTTTCATTAGACAATCTTACTTTACAGTCAATTCAATTACTTTCTCAAGCAGTTCGTTCCTTTCGCCAGTTAACTATCCCGAAGTCCTTTATCAAAGGCAAAAGAAACCCTGAGGTGTTCATTCTAGACCTCATCACAGTCGCTTGGCTCGCAATCTTCCTTCTGCAATATTGTTTGGATCTCTCTTTGGAACTACTGTAGTTTCTGGCACACCCATCCGGTTCCATCGGAACCGACTGCTTTTTATAGGCCAAACATAGTGGCACACCCGGTGGGACAACCGGGAAAAGATCTTTCTTATGGCATATCTGAGCTTTGAACGTGAAGAGTACTACCGAAGGAGGGACGAAGAATGTGACAAGTACTACTGAGAGATAGCCAAAGAACGTGAAGAGCGCTACCAAAGTTACCTAAGGGAGGAAGAAAAATGTGAGCAATTTTCCCGAGAATACAAAGAAAGATTCCGAGAATGGCAAAAGTGCCAACAATGCGTACGAACCATTCCATGAGCTAAGAAACAACCACCACCTGTGGTGTCGATTCCATCAGTAGTGAAGTCGATTCCGCCAGTAGTGAAGTCGATTCCGCCACCACTTCTATCGCAGATGCAGGTTCCACCTAAGGTACAGAACCCTTCAGTAACAGTAAAGTCGATTCCACTAGCAGTGAAGTCGACTCCACCAACAGCTGTTCAAGTTCCATTTCAAGTGGAACCTTGTGATGCCCCCCAGATTTCCAGATGCGGGTTGGCCAGGCCCACACTCGAATACCCAAGGATATAAAAAATAAATGGCAATAATCGAACACAGAGTACAAATATGATAAATATGAATAATTAAAATGGCTGAAAGAAAACTAAAAGGATAATCTAATAATGAAATCCACAGAATAAATTTTTATAAATAAGAAAATATTCTGGTACATCCAATCCTCCAATACAAATACAACTCAGGAATCTATACTATGTGGACCCCTAGAAAATCCCAACTGAATAAGTGACTAAAGCAGAACACTGAAACATAAAGAAAACTTCTATGTAAATAATCCGGAAGAGTGAAGTAGATGATCCCTGCTCAGCAAGAACAATCCCTACTCCTGACGAATACCTGAAAAATGATAGTAGGTCAGCCCACAAACAAGTTTTACTCTATTACAGTTCAAGCAAAGACCCGATACGTAAATACATCCTAGATAACCCCAACAATAGCTATATAGTCCATAATAATAAATATATATATATCCACACTAAAGGACTTTCACTAGACTATAAAGGGGGTCTCAACTTGAATAGAAGGCAACATGCAAAATGTACCTGAGGTGGGCATGTGTACCTAAGCCTAACAGGGTATACCTCAACCTATCATAGCTAGTTATGTATCTCACTGCATATACACGCCACAACCAGCGACTCTGAGACTCAAGCTCATATCGCAGTACCATAATTATATATTTATATAAATATAATCCATCCTAATATAAAATATAAAAAAAAAAAAAAAACAAACGTCCAATATGTCATTCAACTGTTTTAGTTGACCTGACATGAAAATATGTAGGATTTACATTTTTAGTAAATCCATTCCGTTATGTATGAATAGGTAAGAATTAGCGTTTTGATCTAATCCATCCTTAATATGCTACCGTCCCATACCGGTGCATATAATCCTCAAAATCCATAAATGATGTAACATCCAAAGTAATACATCAAATAAATCCACAAATCCAACAATTGATGCAATAAATGATAAATTTAAACATCAATTAAAATCCACAAAACAACCTAATAATTGATAAAATAGAAATAAGTAGTTCATCAATTATACTCCAAAATAAGCATAAATAAAGTCTACTATGTATATGACCATATTATGCATCCAATACAAGATTTAACAATCATGTTCTAGTCATTTAAATTGCTAAAATAAGACTAAGCAAATAAATTTTTTATATTCGTTAACAGCATGCAAAATTGTTTAAGGTTTCATACTGTTCAATCCATTAGCATATAGACATTAACTATACAATATGGGGTTTTAATACAACATGAAATAATATTTAGAATCCTCAATATTAACCCAAAACAGTTCGGGAACCCCAAAATATCCAAATAGTGCCTAAAACCCCTTCCAGTACACATTAAAATAAGAGAGCTTGCTCTCAAAAGTTGAGAGCCAACTCTGTACCAATGAGAGCCGGCTCCCCTACCCATGGAGCAGGCTCTCTCTCTCACAGAGAGCCACGGGCAAAAGTACTTAGGGAGCCGACTCCATCCCCTTCAGAGCCGGCTCTCTCCCTGCTTCCCATCATCGTCTTCATCTT